ACCCCTTATCTATTTATTCGCGTTATTGAAATCGTCAAAAAATTTCATTTTATTGGCCTTTCTTCTCTCTCTCTCTCTCTCTCTTTATTTTTTTTTTATTTTTATTACAAACGAACATTATCATGCTTTTATAGCTAACCCTCGATGAAAGCTATGTATATTAAATTCGTTTATAACGGTACTACATAAAAAAGTGTAAAAACGATTCAATATGATATTTCGAAAATAACTATAACACGTTTATCTATGTTTTGTAGTTAGGAATGTAACTTTAGTTTATAATTTTCCAATCACAATTATACCATTATAAGTTATCTTATTATTAATTCATTCTTTCCATTTAGTCTTACATCTATAATCTCTTCTCTAAATGACTCTTACGTAATCATACTACCATATAAAATAAATATATCGATTGTAATTGGATACTATTTTGATGTTTCATCGTTAGATCCGAGTTTTTGTAGATCGGTTTGTTCGATTAGATCTATATTAATGGTTATTGAAATGCCATTCGAAAAAAACGACACATTATTGCAAGTTTCTTGGTTGTTGTAATAAAAAAAAAATATCAGAACGATTAAACTAATGTAAAATTGATATTTATTCGTTGCTACTCGTATCTTTATGATCTTTATCATGTTTTTAGTTGTACGAGGTAGTATCAACTTCGTGAAATTTTCTTAATCGAATTCCATTCGTAGATCGATACGAGGATATCTCGATGCATGGACGAGTTGGATCAATTAACCGGTTCACGTTCAGGCCATTAAGTCGAAATGAATTCGCATTTAGGCTATCCTTGCGTATTGGAGAAACGATCATCAAACCGATCGGCAAACTCGATTTTACGGTTTGCTCTTTTGCTCTGCTACGTGGATTATTGAACTTACAATTAGTATCGGTTCGGTATTATCGGCGATCGGTAGGGTACCTTCGATCTTGATTAACTAACTTGGTTAATTATGTGCATTGACCTCCTTATATTCTATCAGCTTCGAGCGTTCTCCTATGGCTAACTCCATTACCACGATTAACCAGCTCGGTTATTAGAGATAATCCTAGTGTAATGAAAGTTAAATCATGTAGTAGATAGACCAAATTATTAATACGTTCATAATTTCATTTAATAAATAATAAGAAAATACGAAGACATATTTAATGTCATTATGATAGTCAATAATTATTACATCAATAAAAAAAAAAAATAACAAAAGAAACTATTAAATAGAACTCTATTATTATAATATAATATTTTTTATATTTAATATTATATATGTAATATTATAACTATAGACTATATATACTTTAATAAATATATTTATTTATTTTATATATAATATATAACAATTTATATTATAACAAATAGAATGTATACTTTATGATTTATTATTTTAATAAAAAATTAATTATAAATTTCATATTATTTTATAATATGAGTAATTGTAATATAATATGAATCGTAATATCAATTTTTTTTTCACTTATAATTAATTCAATGTCATAATTATCGTCTTAAATATATATATATGGATATATGAGTTAGATGAGTTAAAATGTTTGTACGATGAATGGTTAAGAAGTTGGATATTTTCTTATTAATGTAAATCTAAAGGGTTTTGATTGGTAGCCTTAGGGTAACAGAAACGTTAGTTTCTTGTAGATACACAATTAAATTTGAATTTAACTATATATATATATATATATATATATATATATATATGGTGTCTCTTACTAGATAACAACCATCATTTTCCCTTGGGAAAATCGAAACCGATTATGTTGCGACCATGAGCATATTGTTCTGCGTACGACACGCGTTCTACACATTTCGTTGACATAAAGCAAACAGACATTCAGAATATATTAGTAATTTCTAATGCTAGTTATTATTTTAAAGTGAATCTTTGTCATTGTAAATTTGATATGATTATAAAATAATTTTTCGTAAATCAATTATAAACAATCATACGAATGTATTATCTAATATCAATTGACAATTATTTGAAATGATTTATTTCTTTTGGAAATATTTGAATACCTGGTTTAATTTATCGTACATCGAACATCCTTTATTGAAATTTAAATGCTTTTGATGTTCATTATATTGATACTCGATGATATTGTTCTTTGAAAGAATCTCTAATTGAGTTGATATAGAATATAATGAAAAGGTTAAGTATGATAATTAATTTCGAAATACGCTAATCAGTAGGTATGAATTAATAGATTTGAAATACCTTGAATATTATGTGATTCATTTAATTAACGAATACTGTTAAACAACAAATTCTATTATTAATACATGATTCATTTATAACATAAATACGAAAAGATGATTGGTAATTATAACAAATTAATTTAAAATCAAATTATATATCAAAATATCATTTTTGTTGTTTTTTGTTGTTGTTGTTGTTGAATGATCTAATAATCAAAATAAATGTCTAGTTTTTAATTCTAAATGATTGTTTCAAGTAAACAAATTTATGCGAATAGATAGATCAAATTTTAACTTAATTGAATTATAATATTAAAATATTAATAATTATTAAAATAATTTTTAAACTTTTATGTTTAACATTGTTATTTAAATTATTTAATTGTTATTTTTATAAGAGTAGTATTATTATATATATAAAAAAAAAAAAAATAAAAAACAGGAATGAATAAACAAATTTATTCGAATTTTACATTGGTCAATTTATATTTCGACCAATAAAGAAAAAGAAAAAAAAAAAAAAAAGAAAAGAGAAGAGAACAAGATTTCAAACGTACAATCGAATTCGTTCAATTTTCAGATTTGATTTTAACAAAATACAAATTCGTTAGTTCGGTCATTTGACTTTTAAGCAATTCTATTTAATTAGATAGGTCGTAGAATAAAATTCAATTGTTCTATTGTCTGTATTCTGACTTTTTTTTTTCTTTTTTCTATTTTTTTTTTTTTTTGTATTTTTAATACAAAGATTGGAAAGAAAAAAAATTTCATTATAAATCGAATGAAACGTACGTGGATATTTTGTAAGTGGTCGAATAAAAGTCCACTGACATTGCTCGCCTAGGTATAAATAAATCACTTTAGATCGTTATAGCAGAATGAATAATGAAAGTCGTGAGTTACGAACGTATCGATCATGACGTGTGGTGGGTGCATCGTTTTCAAGAGGAGGAGGAGAAAGAGGGGGAGGAGGAGGAGGAGGAGAAAGAGGAGGAAGAGGAGATGTAGTGGTCCTTCCAAATTTCCAATCGTGTAAGCACGTTTACAATTATTCATGGAGACGGACGTAGGCTATAAAAAATAAACTGAACAAATAAATATAAATATAAATGAAATTGCAAATACGACGATACGAGTTACACGACAAAACTAGCTGTTGCTGATTTTGAGATACCTACTCCTCGTTTTGACGTTCATCATATTTCAAATTCGCTTCAAATTGATATTGGAATTTAATGATGATAATTTACATTGGCATTTGATTTCTCTATATTTTGTTGTATTTTTTTATTACAAATTGTTCTCGTTAAATTTGTTTAAAGTGAAATTTCTTGTTTTTTTTTTGTTAATGATAATCACAAAATTTGATGAAATGACATAAGAGAAAGAGTGAAATAGAATTCACAATGTTTGATATACCTTAAATGATTTTTAATTAATCGAAGAAAAATGAAATCTTTCAATTTACTTTTATTTATTTATTTTTTTTTTTCTTCTTACTAAAAGCTAATTTTATTATTTTCATAGTATATATTAAAAAAAAGTATTTATTTATCTTTTAATTAGATTTTAATCTTATCCTTTACTTAATATTAATTTAAAAAAAAAAATTATTAAAATAATTAAATTACAATTTAAAATAATTAAATATTATTAATCTTATCCTTTAATTAATATTATACTGTGCACACTAAAACTATATTTATTTTTGGTAGCCATTAGAAGTTGTGATTAAGGTGGCCAGTTTTCAAATAAAAATCTAGTAAATTTAACGATGTATTTAGGTCATTAAATATGAAATGTCTGATTTTGATGTGAATATAATACGAGTAATCAGACATTTCATAGTTAATAGCCTAATATAATTTTAAGGGATACTGACTATATATATAATCAATTGATTATTTATTACATGATAATACGAGTTTCACTTTTATCTCGCTTGAATGCCATGCACGTTCTTTTATATCGATTCTTTTATAGAGAATGATACTTGTATTGGTGACAATAGTGTCGAATGCACGAACGATAATTATCATAAATTGTCAATATATATCGAATATGAGAGAGAGAGGGAAAACGAATCAAGATCGGATGCAATTGCCTTTACTACATTCGACTGAAAGAATTTGTATTTTTACTTACCAAGTGAGATAGAATATCATAAATATAGGAACACTTTAATAAGAACCATTTTAAGAGAGTTGAAAGGTACTTCAAAGAAAAAAAAAAACAATCTACAAGATCAAATTATGTATTAAATCTTTTAACATTATTTCTGAATAAGATCGAAAAAAAAGACACAATTGTACATTTTTTACTCAACTTACATATTTCTATATATAAATTATTATTATTATTATTATTATTATTATTATTATTATTATTATTATTATTATTATTAATAAATAACATGAATTAACAAACGCATAAAAGATATTAAAATAATTATATTTAATTTTAATTAATTTTAAATGAATATCTTAAAAATCGAGTATTATATTAACCTGTTAACCGGGGAATCCCTTTTTTAATTACGCAACTATTTTAATATAATTATTTATTTATTATTTATTATATAATTTATGCTTAAAATAAATAAAAAGACTATATAATATATATTTTTTCATTTATATATATATAACGTATACATATTTGTACATTTACCTTTAAACCAATACGTTTGACGTATTTATACGTTCCACCCAGTTAACAGGTTAAGAAAAAATATACATGTAATTTATTTATTTTATCTTTTTTTTTTTTTTGTGTTCTTCAGAGATACCAGGAAGATGGCGAAGGCATTGTCCAAACGGACCAATAATGTCAGGTCCTGGTTGCAACCTGGTTGACGATGGAACCTCTGATGAAAGCGGAAACGCGGTTGCGAGCGGGAAATGCGTTTGCGGACCATCCGTGCCCTGGTGTCCGGGTGAACCGCGACCATATGACTACAGGACTCGGCACGAGTGCAAGCTCAATTTGGCTGCGAAAATTGCCTACGGTAGGGAACACATAAATATCGTACAAAAACCTATCCGTCGTCGAATCGACTCGCCTTGATTGCCTTCCTTGTTTCTATCAGAGCTTTTACAACATTTATATCGTGAATGAATAGGGTTGACTCTATTTCATCGAAATAGAACCCCTCGTTCTTTTATTACCCTTTTTTTTTTTTATGTGTAATTTTTTTTTTCTTTTTTTTTTTTACAGTGCACGAGTGAGAAGAAAAAATTTAATTTTAACGTTTCATTCGATTTTTCGGCCGTTCATTTTATTTTATTTTTTCTAAACCCCCTCCCCCTTTCTCCCCTTTTACATTGCATTTAGTTTTTTTTTTTTTTTTTATTGAAGAAAGTTATTTAATTTTTTTTGATTTCACACGGTCAGTATTTTTTTCTTCTTCTTTTTCGGGCTACGTTTATCAGGTAAAAAGTGTTTAGAATTTGCGAGTATTTTTTTTTTTTGTGACGTATGATTAAACAAAAATAAATGTAGTATAGTTTATTAGGTTGAAATTTAATTTTTTTTTTTTTTTTTATACTTTCGTAATTGATATTTCACGAATGTTTTGTACCGACTAATCAACGTAATAAGTTTTAACAACGTATTCATTTTTACTGAATATAAAAGGAATGATTGAATATATGATTTCTGATCCAGATAATACGAATATCTGATTTCTTTGCCAATCATCGTTACTTTGTTTGATAAAAAGTAGATAAATGATAGAGAGGTAGGTAGGTGTCTATCGTTTTAAAATGTCTCTTTATTGAAATACTTTCTATTTGAACGAAAAGATAAAAGATTTAAAAGGTTTTTGATCTCATTGAGGAACACACAGATGAAAAATTGATTGAGATGAGGATAGCGTTGATTAACGAGAGGTATCTGAAAAAAAAAATAAAAAAAAAAAAACTATTTGCTACTTATCTCAAATTTAAAGTCTACATTTTATGATTGATTATATTTTCATTTGATGAAAAATGAACATTATAGTAAGTTTTATTACAGTTAGAAGTAACATTAGAAATTTTGTCAATAATTAATGTCTCCTCATTTAGCATTGACAAACAAAATGGATTGACTCGGTTTTGCATCACGTCCAATATTTGACAATATTTAATATATTATTTATGTATGTCGCTTCGTAGTGACTATTTTAAATATGATTTTCCTATTATTTCTCTTGTTCATGTTCTTTTTCTATCACATTGTGGTAAACCAACACAATATGGACAAAGGAGTTGAGATTAAGTAGACATCGAGGACGAGGATATGAGAATATGACAAAATACTGGGTTAAATGTTAAATGAAAAGAAAATATAAATAGCAACGAGAGAAAAGAAGAAGAAAAAAGAAAAAAAAAAAGTAAAAGGAACAGAAAACTTGAATGACGGGGACGAAGGACGAAGTCGTGTGTCGGCATTTAATGAGAAAAAGAAGTACATGTATAGGGAAAATATGTACTTATGTGTACTTACATACGGCATGTCGTATCGTAGTTTCCCCTTTGCCTTGTTCGTTCTACATTACTTTTATTTTTATATTTTTTTTTTTTACCTTTTATGATTTTAAAATGGGATAAAAATTCAACGGACCAACTTGTCGAGACTTCCATGCAGAAATGTAATATGATAAGCATATTATTATATTGGGCATTGGCTTGCAGAGTATTTTCAGATTAAAATATTCTCTGAAGTGATTTAATTATGAGTCTTAGACGATTAAATCGTTTTATTTAATAACTCGAAACTTTGTTATTTTGCTCGTTACACAAAATTCATTATTTCAAGATTTATGAATATAGTATTTTTATGTAATATAGTATTAGTATTATTATATATGTGATGTGTTACTTATACATTTTTATTCTTAGTCCAAAAAATACGTGCCATTTTATAAATCAATATTTGGGATTCATATTTTTAATTGAAATAAATGATTTTATTCAATATTTTATTAAAGTTGGTATCAGTTTTTTTTTTTATAGGCAACTCAATACACATATGGAAAAGTTCATTCTGATTTTGAGAAATGTTTATAAATTATAAATATATAAATAAAACATATATATATATATTATATTTATTATATAAACCATTTATTTTAATTGCCATTCTAGGAAACCTAACAAGGGTAGGGCAAGGTCTTACCCTCACGAATTTTGTTCCAATTTTCTAAGAAAATAGATTTGGCTTCCTTGTTCACGAATATATATGATTATACAGTGGCAACTACTCAATAATTTTTTAGATATTTGCAATTAAAGATGATGCAATAAAGATGCCGTTTAATCCTTCAATTCATTTCTCAATTCTCAATTATCAAATTCAAAAATAATATAAATATAATATTCAAAAATAATATTCATTCGTGATTGCAAGACCTTGCACTCCTCTAGTAATTAACAGTTCACTTTCATCAAGTTTTACAGATGCATTTTTTGTTCTATTATTTATCAGAACAAGAGGATAATTATGTTAGAATACAATCAAAGTTTTAGTATTAAATGTTAAACGCTTAAAATGTGTTACCTTAGTCGAAAATTGTTCTATCAAAATCGATTGATGAAAATAGAAATTTATCTGGAAAATGATCTATTAATTTTCTAACGTTTAGAAATGAAGAAGCTACGAGTATGCATTTATAATAATCAGAGTTTCAATACAAGTTGTTGTTGTTGTTGTTGATAAAGTTGATCGAGTGTATCTAACTTTTAGTTTAATACAAACAGCTTCTAACAACCTCTCTTCTACTCTATAGTTTATTAAACGAATTCGTTCTCTGGTAAGGACAGCTTGACAGGTTGAACGTTAGAATCCTTCCTCCGGTTTGCTAACTTTGTTAATAATCTGCCAATTTTTACATAAATCGAGATTATCGGAAAATGCTTAAGCATTTTCGTTTTCGTAGAAAGTAATATCTATGTTTGCTATGAAGACAAGAAAAAATAGAACACAGTCATCGATTGATTCATTAGTTACAAATAATATCGTCAATACGTTCCGTGTCACGTGTACCATCGGTGGTACACTTACCATTAGACATATTTATTTAAATATATGTTTATAACAAATTTAATTCTGTACAAAAAATATTCCTGCATTAAAATATTGATGCATTATACAAAATGCAGTTTAGAACAAAGTATATAAATTTGTTTAATTGTTATATTTACGAAAAATTAATAATTACGTGTAATGATTAATTTTATTAAAGGAAAATTAAATGGCCTCCTGAATGACAAGTCAGATACAAAAAGGGCTTGGCACGGAACGTGTTAAAAAGAAATGTTAAAGATTATCGTTATCACCGATTTCAGCTTGTTTTCAAAAGTTACGCAAAATAAAAGGGATTGTAGAAATTAAAAAGAAAAAAACACAGATATCTTTGAGAAGGTCTTTAAAAAACATGAACTGCAAATCTTCTTGAACTTATTCTTACAATTAAATAATTTAGCTATCTATTTAAGTTCGCAAAGGAACAATCCGTCCATACCTTGTTTCCTTCTTTTACCGTAAAGGTACGTACGCGATTTAAGTTTTCTCTCCAAAGAATCGAATTTAACTTTACTCAAGATGGCAACGGGGTAACTACTTTTGTTACTCTCACTCTTCTCTTTTTCTATCTCTTTTTCTCAGTAACAACCTAGTAACGACACGAACATCCAAGTGTTTTTGAATGGACTTTTTCAAGTTGTTCTACAAGGAAAGAACGAGTTAACTACCGATTTTGAATAGTTGTACTGTTTTTAGTATGAAAAAGACCGATCATAATTGTCTGCTAACTTGAAAGGACAATTTTGAAAATAGTCAAGATAAAATAGCTTTGAAAATGACGATTTCTTCTTTGACAAAAATAATAATGTTTATGATAATAATAATTGTGAGTAGTCTATGACATTATAAGAAACTTGTGTCGATTGATTTCTATCGTTGAATAAAATTTATATATTCAGTAAATTATTTAATAATAAAAATCAATATAAAAATATTCCTCGTATTAATAAAAATAATATTTTTTTTAAAAGAAAATATTTCAATGAAAAGGAGAGTGATAAAATGAAGTAAAATAAAAAAAAAAAAAGTATTTACTTTTATATATTCTTCTTATAACGACAATTTTTTTATTAATTTTTTTGTGAAATTAAATATATTTATTTAATTATAATATATTATTATATATATAATATATTATATATATTATTTTATTTTAATCTAGAATAATATTGAAGCCAATTAGATACCGACAAAAATATTTTCTTTTATTTAGAAATAAATAATATACATAGATTATTTTATATATAATAATATACATATTATTATATATAAATATATATATATATAATTTATTTATCATCGTTTATTTGATCACGCGTGGTAGGTTTAATGTTAAACACGAAAGAAAGTAAAATAAAAGATCATTAAACTAAGTTAACGTTATATATAAGTTATAAGTGATATTATATATATATATTTACATTTTATGATCGTAATATACAGTGATATTTATTTTAGTAAACGCAGATATCTGATGATGTTAGAAAAGTGGGAAAGCGTTTAAGACTTTCCCTTTTTTTTTTTTTCATGAGAGATGAGGAAAGTCGAAAGCTAACAGAGTGAGTGTTGGTTTTGAGAGGGATAGGAAAACGTTTATGAAAGATTCGGGATACCCTTGGTGATCCTTCGAACCCTTCACAATTTCTTTGGGCTCGTTCGTTTATATATGAAAAAGGTTTTCCCTTCTTCACGGAATCCAATCAGTTCTTACTTTCATAGCATGGCGGAATATCGTAATGTCGTACCTTCAAGGAATTGCTGCCTCGGCAAGGCCCTAAGGAAAGCTTTGGGACCGATTCAGATGCATGCTGAATTTTCTACTGATAATTTTTTCCAATACTTCTATGAGACCTTTCTTTTTCAAAAAAAAAAAAAAAAAATAAAGATAATATAAAGGGGGAAGTAAGTAAATGGAAAGTGAGAAAGGTGAGAAGGTTCAAGTTTTTCGATAAAATTACAACGAGATGTGATAACTATATATTATATATATTTTATATATTTTATATTATATTATTTTTTATATATTTTATATTATATTTTTTATATATTTTATATATTATATTTTATATTATATTTTATATATATTTAACATTATATATATATTTTGTATA